TGAGGTCAACAGGGCTATCTAAAAGCATGAAGCACAGGTTAGAATTCAGCCACCACGCAGCCCATCTCGATTCACTGCCCCATGAATCTTAATTTTTAAAATTACTTGACCAGCTGTGACCCAGGGCATGTATAAGGTTTGCCCGCTTCTTCCACACTGTTCTGCACTGTTTCTAGACTGTTCTTTCTTTACGCTGTTTGTTCCATTCCACCAACCTTTAGAGTTGCAATACTGGAGTCAGATATGTGACCTGACGTTAGATTCTCAAGAAAACAAAACAGAACACAGTGATTATTTCGGGGAGAAGAGCCGCACCAAGAATCTTCATTAGCAGGTCTGGCAGACAAGTCCATCTCCCCGTGAAGAAGGAAGCCTACCTGGGCTACCGTCAAATCTGACTAGTCTCCCAGCCCCGCCACTTCCACCCTCGTGCTGAAATAATGCTGGGAATGCCTGGTTCTTTTTACCTGGTAGTGTCTGAGAGTCCGTGGTTTGGGCTCCAGTTCATCTTTTCTTTCAACTCATTCTAGAACCCTAACTTTCAATAGTTAAATTATCAGTGTTTGAGAGATAAAAAATGGCACTACCCACCCCCCACCCCAGTTTAGCCATTTACAGACTGCAACTTTGGGTGTTTATCTCTCAGGCCACAGGAAACAGGACTATTTTGAATAATCAATTAGTTAAGATATGCAAAGCACTTAGGATAATGACCGCCACAACGTTCAGTTAAGTGTGAGTCATTAGTACTACTCTTAGCATGCAGCATACTGTGACCTTTCCAAGCCCCTAGGAGTGTGTCTCTCCTTTCTCCTTTTAACATTTTAACTAGTTATTTTCAGTGCAGTAATGACGCTCAATTGTTTTTCCCTCTAAGGAATATTCTTAAGTTTTGTCAAAAACATCAGCAAGATAGAGGATGTACTCAGACATTTTATCTTTGAATAAAAGCTTTTCCCCCACCATTTATGAAAATTTATCCCATTGTTGCTGTGGAGAAATTACCAACCCTTTGTAAACAACATGTTCTCTCTCTCTTACTCTTAAGGTCCTGGAGACTGAAGCCAGCGACTGTGCAAATCAGGAGAGCCCTCTAAACCAAGGGGCAGAGTGCCTCCCCCAAATCCCCCCCCCCCCCAGCGCGCCCATGCTTCCCATTCCGGACTCTGAGAACTTCCTGAGGATTCTTGTCTTATATAAATTCTGGAAATTTTTAACCATTGGTTCTAACCCTAATTCTAAAGTGTTTAGATTCCAATTAGATGACTGTTAGGTTCTCTATCACATCTCCGAATATAATAGTTCATATTTTCCAACTCTGTGTTGTGTTTTGGAAATTTTTCTTTTTTTCTTTTTTGGTTTTTCGAGACAGGGTTTTGCTGTAGTTTTGGAGCCTGTCCTGGAACTAGCTCTTGCAGACCAGGCTGGCCTCGAACTCACAGAGATCCTCCTGCTTCTGCCTTAAGAGTGCTGGGATTAAAGGTGCGTGCCACCATCTGGCTGGAAATTTTTCTTTTTTTTTTTTTTCCTCTTTTGAGCTGGGGTCTCATATAGTCCAGATTAGCTTCAAATCTCCAGTGCAGGTAAAGATGAAGGTGGACTTCAGAGTCTCATGTGTAGGAATTTTGGATGAGCTACTACAATATCCCAGGATGGTCTGGAATTCACACTATATAGCTCGGGCTGACCTTGAACGGCAGCAGGACTTACACCACAAGTCACTGTGTTTTGGAAATTTCTCTTATACATATTTTCTAGCTCTGAAATTTTATTTTCACTTGTGCCTGATAGTTCCCTAACACACTGGCTGATTTTTAAGTTAAAAAATTATTTTATTTTTGATTTTGTATATGTATGTTTTTCTGTGTGTGAATTTATGCACAGGAGTGCAGGTACCTACAGAGGCCAGAAATGGACATTGAATCCCCTGGAGCTGGAGTTACAGGCTGCTGTAATGTGATGTGGGTGCTGGGACCTGAACTTCAGTCCTCTGCAGGAGCAGCAGCAAGTGCTCCGACTGCTGAGGTATCTCTCTAGCACCACCCCCAATAACTTATAAAAGACAAATTGGGGGGCTGGAGAGACGCCTCAGCAGTTAAACGAGCACCGATTGCTCTTCATGAAGACCCAGGTTTAGTTCCCAACATCTACATGATGGTTAACAAACACCTGTAATTCTAGTCCCAGAGGTTCTGATGCCTTCTTCTGGCCATCACTTGGCACACAGGCACACAGAACAGAGTAGTGCATGGAGAAGTCTGAAGGCTTGTGAGAAACCTCAAGGAAACAAGAGTCTTATGACCTCAGTTTCTATGAAAACATAAAATTGTTCTTAGATTATGTTTTTTGTGTCCCTCTCAGGTGCATCAGACTGGAGTTAGTTTACTTCAGCTTACAACTGACTACTGTTATTTTGTTTGGTTTTTTGAGACAGAAAACTCATTCTGTAGATGAGGGTAGCCCCTCAGACTCAGAGATCTACCTGCCTCTGCCTCCCAAGTGCTAGAAAGAAGTGCACCACCATGCATGGCTAAACCTCATTTTCTTTTTTTTTTTAACTTTGAAGAATTATATTTATTTATTTATTAAAAAGTTCCACCTCCTCCCCACCTCCCATTTCTTCCCCCTCCCCCTCCCTCTCCAGTCCTAAGAGTAGTCAGGGTTCCCTGCCCCGTGGGAAGTCCAAGGTCCTCCCCACTCCATCCAGGTCTAGGAAGGTGAGCATCCAAACAAACCAGGCTCACTTTCTTAATTATAGAATTTTATAGTAGGCCTTGGTTTCACCTAGGGTGACATTTGCAACTCTGTTCTTTTTCAAGACGAATATAGTTACATTAGGTCTTGTGGTGGTTCGAATAGGAACGGCGCCCACCGACTCATGTGTTTGAATGTTTGGCTCATAGGGAGTGGCACTATTAGGAGGTGTGGCCTTGTTGGAGGAAGTGTGTCACTGTGGAGGTGGGCTTTGAGGTGTCATTTATGCTCACGCCATGACCAGTGTGGTGCTCTCCTTCTACTGATTGCTGATCAAGACGTAGAACTCTCAGTTCCTTCTCCAGCACCATGTCTGCCTGCACGCTGCCCTGTCCTCCCATAATAATAATGGATTAAACTTCTGAGACAGGAAGCCAACCCCAATTAAATGTTTTCCTTTGTAAGAGTTGCTGTGGTCATTGTGTCTCTTCACAGCAATAGAAACCCAAACTAAGACAGGTCCTTTAGTTTTCTAACCATATTTTAAAATGAGTTTGCCAATTTAACAACACACAGAAGGCTGTTGAGTATGGCATAGCATAGTAGCATATGCCTCGTAGAGGCCAGTTAGGGTCATTTAGATTCCTAAACCCCAATCCCAACCTAATCCAACCCAAATCTTGTTGGGCCTCTGATTGATATTGACTCTGTAAGTCAGTTTGAAGATATCTACTTATGTCAACACCAAATCTTTCAGGCAACAACATGACACACCTCTACATTTACATAGGCTCTTTAATTTCTTTTAGCAAGGTTTTATACCTTTCAGTCTTAAGTCCCTTTCTTTATTATTAATCTTATTGTTGGTGGTGCTGGAGACCGAATCCAGATGAAAGCACTCAGGCACTGAGCCACAGACGCCCCATGCTCTTTAGACACTCTTCATCTTGAAGCTCTACTGTAGTGTCTGCACAGGCTCCGCAGCACTCTCTGGAGGTGCTCATGTTACTTTCAAAGACCATTTTTCTTCTTTTCAGAATTTATGCATCATGTTGCACTGGCTAGGTTTTCTAATGTAACTAACTGTAAATAGACAGTAAAATTAGACCTGGAGGACATATAGGAAGGAATGTTCTGGAATTTAGTCTTTAAATGTTGGCACCAGCAGGAGGTTTTTGTGTAGGCATTGCTCAGGAGAGGAAGTTTGTCCTATGTCAGATGCCTTTTCTGCATCTACTAAAATGATCTTACAAATTTCTTCATGTGAATTATACTGATTCATTTTAATATAATATATAACTTTGCATCCCTTGGACAAACTAAACTGATCATGGAGTATTAGCCTTTGCACATCCCCCCCCATCTTTTAAGCACAATAGATTCAACAGTAAAGCCATCAGGGCATGGAGTTTTCTTTGTGGGAAATTAATTATGAATTCAATTTCTTTTTTTTTTTCAATTTCTTTTTTTTTAAATATTTATTTATTTATTATGTATACAATATTCTGTCTGTGTGTATGACTGCAGACCAGACCTCATGACAGATGATTGTGAGCCACCATGTGGTTGCTGGGAATTGAACTCAGGACCTTTGGAAGAGCAGGCAATGCTCTTAACCACTAAGCCATCTCTCCAGCCCTGAATTCAATTTCTTTAACATTTAACAGACTTTTTTTTTTTTTTGCTAATGTTCATGTCATTTCTTGTGTGTCTTTTAAGAAATATGCACATTGCACCTGCATTAACCTTTTTTTTTTTTTTGGTTTTTGGGACAGGGTGATACTGTGTAGCCCTGGCTGGCCTAGAATTTGCTTTGTAGACCAGGCTGGCTTAAAACTCACAGAGATTTACTCACCACTGCTTCCTAAGTGCTGAGATTAAAGGCATTCACTACCACATCTGGCTGGGTTATTAATTTTATTGAAGATACTATTTCCTCTCATACTTTCAATTTCTGTAAGATCTGTAGTGATGTCCCTTCTCTCATTCCTGGCACTGATAATTTGTATTACTTTTCCTTTTCCCCTTGATCAATATTGTTAGGAGTTTATACTAAATGTATTGATATTTTGGAACAACTAAATTCTGTTTGATTTTTTTTCTTCTTGATCTGTATTTCCAAAAGAGCATTGCAGATAAAATTAAAGCTTCCTTCATTTTCTTCCTACACATCTCCCTACCTTCTATTCCCCAGCATCCCCCTCTTGTGAGTGTCACAATGACTATTCTCCTAAGGAATATGTATATTCAATGTATTCAAACAATGCTGCACTCTGGTACTCTCCTGGGAGCCTCCACTCACTCACCACGTTGCCTGCCTCTGCAGCCAGTCGGGCAGCATAACGCGCTATCAGCCGATGCTCCTCATCCAGCCGGCTAGGACTATCCAGGACACTGCCAAGGAGATAAAATCCAACAGATCTATTAGACATCTCTAATTCTTGTTCTGTTCTTCAAGGAGACAGGCATATAACTAAGAGTGATAATTATTAGTAGACGTCTGTGTCGCAGATGCTAAGTCTTCCCAGACAAAAGGATTCAGAAAAATAATGGGGCTGCACGTACCATCCCTGTGTATCCACATCGGCAGAGGGGCAATGTCTTTCTAAATGAAGGGTTAAGAAAAGACATTCTGCAAAAATCTGAGATAGGGATTATGAAAAAAATGTTTGGGGAAAGTAACTTTATAGAGCCAGGTCTTGAACTAAAAAGAGACTTAAGAAAACTATGGGATCATAAAAAACAGAGGGCTGAGAAAATACTTAACACTGGCTGAAGGAAAAAGAATCCCAGCCAGGGTTGGCCAAGAAGACTGTCTAGTTGGAAAGAGTCCATGGTATTAGACATTCCCTTTTAACACCCTTTCTCCTGTTGTACAATGCTCACTTCACACATGGGGCCAGTCTGAAGTAAACCAGTCCATCTTCCTCTTCCACCTCTCTCCTCTCAGCTTTTAGGGAGGTGGTGAGTTATTTTTGTATTGCCCACACTTAGCTCCCAATTCTCCTGCCTGAGTCTCCCCAGAACAGGGATTACAAGTGTGTGTCATTGTGTCCTGCCTCATCCATCATTGTAAAAATGTTAGAACCCATGCAGATGAGGTACCAGATAATATGGTACCTGATAAAAGAAAATCAGTTCTATAAGTATTATAGCTGCTGCTGCTGCTGCTGCTGCTGCTGCTGCTGCTGCTGCTGCTGCTGCTGCTGCTGCTGCTGCTTCTTCTTCTTCTTCTTCTTCTTCTTCTTCTTCTTCTTCTTCTTCT